AATTTTGCATTAATATTTTCAAGTTCTCACCGGGAAAACTATGCTTCAAATTATCAGAGACATTTACAGAAAACAGACCCGTTTCTGCCACCGTTTTCTGCTAGTGTCTCTGATGATGAATCCATGGCGGATGTCGAAAATTCAGTCGAATAAAAGTATTGCCCCAACGATCGAGTCGTCTTCTCAATTACTTCCTGGTACTCGCATGTTCGCTTGGATTGGCTATTTATTGTCGATCGTTTCAGGTAAGAGAACTGTCCATGGTATATGAAATGCAGTGTTACTTAAATTTTGATTTGCCCACTTTTATACCTTAAAGAAAATATATAGAAGTGCTATTACATATATATGGACAACGAACAGTATTTGAAAAATTTCCAAATCCGAAAAAAGGAAAATACGCTGTAACTGTGACCAATAGATATGAACAGAATCGGCAAGCGAATTCGTGAATAAACTATGTTGTGTGTAGTAGAAGTGCGTTATGCTATTCCAGTTTCTTTATACGCAATTATGGTGTTTGTCTACGATTTTTTTTCAGATCGGTCTTCCAATTCCGACGAATATCTTTCAATTTGCCGTGTTTTAATTTTTTTCCCATAACTATAGATTTTAACGCGCGTGTTAATGACAACTTTCAAAATAATCTATTTAGTAAAAGTATTTATCGAAGAAGTGCCTTTTGGAAATTAGTTCTTATAAAGATGACCATTGAAGTCATATTTGTTGACTCACCCAAGCATGAAAATTAATTTTTTAAGACCATAGACGTGCATTCCAGGCAAATGCTCGGTATTGTGGCCGAATATATCCTAAGATTTGGAGAAATCCTAACCTTCTGCTCGTTATGTTTCTAGATTAAGTATTAGCAGAAAGAAGGTTGTAATAAAAGGTATCTTGGTACGTACTCCAAAGATAGTATAGATTGTTTTCGGCGCCCATCTCCCAGTCTCTTGTTTACAGTCGCAAATCTCGGTGTGGTAAAACAAAATACGGTCAAACAGTGTCAGTGTCCAAAACTTCAGCAATTGCAAAAATATTTTTTAAAGCTCATTTCATTCCTTGTTCTTGGAAAACAATGCGATTCTTTCAATTGATTGCCATTGACTTAATGTAAGATTTGCAGGTGACAGAAGGTGTTTTAGAACGTCTCCTGCTTTTACAGCACAACGAACAAAACAAGAGGTTTTGTTCTGTTACAGTAAGTACCGTAGGCAATTTCTAGTATATTCGGCCATCTCCGATTTCCTTCAAACCCGTCCTGTTTTCCTTCAATATATAAATGTAAACAGGCAGTTTTCTTTAGTTAAAAGAGTTATGAGCTTCAGTTTAAACTACGAAATTAAACGAGCCAGACCAAGTGGACGCTAAAATACTCACTCTTTTTTCGATGCAGATATTGTATGAATTAGGTCATCTACCGTAGATTGACTTAACCATCGTTCCTCTGCATTACTCGCAAAACAGATATGAACTGCCAGATGCAGAAGGTGCCACCTTCATCTGGACTTTCCGGCGCTGGAGCTCGGGATCGAAGTCGACCGCAGCGAATGGCGATATTGCCCGCATCTACTCCATTGCCGTTAACAACACCAGAAATACCGGCGCTTTGGGCTGCAAGGCATGTCCTTTGGGCGTTGAAGGTCTCATGTAAGTAGCCATTCCACGGCGAAACTTTTTATTTTGGCCAGAATGTGCGTTGAACATCGAATACAAAGGAAAACATCAGATTGTCGGTTGATGTAGGACCACTCGCTGTTGGTAAACATATCTTCCATAAACTCTTTTGTTTGATATCAGTGAAAGTGATTTTCAAATTTTGTTGTGTTAACAGGTCGCAGGCTATCGCTAATTACAGGGTTAATTTAGTTAGCCGCTTCGAGGTAGAGAGTTACCCCCTTATATCCCCACAGGTAAGCGGTAAAAGACAAAATAGTCGGTCTACAAAAACCGCTGAACTTAACGCTCGTCAGCTCTAGCTTATTTGTTAGATTCCTAGCGGTTTTCCAACATTGGTGCCAATGGCGTGCGAACTGAGTCCCAGAATATTCCGGCCGTGGCGTGGCTTTAATTGATTGGCCAGCTCGTACGCGAAGATCGCTTTCGATAAAATATCGATTTATCGATCTGTAGCACGGGTGATTATAAATACACGCGTGCTCGATATAAGCATGTCCGATAATAAGCTTACATGCCGTGGTCAACATGGCACGTGACAAGATGCGTGGCTTAGTTCTTTCGCCATAAGCCATACCCCAAACCCTAGTTGCCAGGACAGAAGCTGATTGGCTTGATGGACTTATCTTAACACGCGTTTGTTACCTTAAACATGTTGTACCAATTACGCTCAAATAGTTATGGTTTTGCCCTCTTTTTGTCGTGTTCTTCCATGGGAGCTCACCCAAGACGTAATTAGGCGGTGACATCTCGGCCTTGGCTACCGTTACAACACTACAAACATGGAAGATAGTTCTGCCTGAAAAACCTTTTAACTTAATGTTTTTTGTCCTTAAGCATCGGCCTGCCTCCTCCCCCAAGTTCTGGTCTTAAGCGAAATAAAATTGCCATTCCGTAGTTTCCCATATCGGCGAGGAGAGGAAGCCAGCCAGAAACCATCAGGAAGTAGTCCCTCAAACTTTATATACTTGAATGGTGTTTTATTTCACAGACCATGTTGGGATGGGCACTACACTAAGTACTCCGTCAATAATTTGCATATATAGTGCCTACTTATTTGTTCTAAGTAACGTTTTAAATTTGAAGTTTATGTATTTGTACAGATGCAGGCCGTGTGGCCCGGGGTTCTTCTTCGCTTTGCTAAAAAACACAACTTCGAATGGCACCGTCTCAGCATGTGCCCCCTGTCCAAACGGGACCATTGCTGTGAGTGACGCCACTTCTGCCATGACCGTGGAGCAGGCCTGCAGACCCTGTCCACCCGGCACTGTACCCGGTTCAGGACCATTCTGTGTGACCGATTTAAACCCCCTCTCTCCGGTTGGCCAAGTTTACAATTTGACGAACCTCATGAGGTGAGCGATTCACACTTGATGCATTTTAGACGATCAAATTAACCGTCGCTTAGCGGCTATATTTCAGCGTAATTTCCGTTTGTGTACTCAACGATACCGGCGACCGTGTTTATAGTACATTTTTTACAAGTAGTATGAGACGTTCACTAAAAAGGGGCTGGGTCTGATGTTTCGAGTTGTAACTTCAACTGACCTGTCTCAGAAATTGTGCATTATCTTTCGCTTATCTCTGCTTAAGGGCAACATTCTTTTTATCGCGATTTTTATACGCCTTCACAGTCTCCTTTCATGTTCATAAGCACAAGCAAATTAGGTTGAAGCGACTTCATGTGGCGGTTCGCTGAGCAGTGATTTAACATTCAGGCTTCGTGCGTCTTCCTTGATATGTTATCATTATTCCCAGTTAAGGGCTCAACATCATCAAAGCTGAAAATGTGTCGCATCTGAGTGACCGTCTCTGAATTTGCGTCTTACTATTGAATGACCAACTGATGCTCATGCATTTGTGTTTCCAATCCTCAACCAAGTTCGTCCGCCGTAATTAAATCCCCAAAAACTGCAGTAAAATTGGGATAAACATGGTTAGGGATGGGGCGTAATGATGAGTCAATCCTATAGGCAGCTTCTTTTCTGAGTGACTCGGTGGACCTAATCACATCTTCGGAGAATACATTCACTTTCTACAGGTTCCGCCATGGGTATGACCGTCTGCACCCTTTATTCTGATTCCTATCGGCGAATTTGACACCTTTTGAATAAGCTTTGTATCAAAGCAGCTCATAAAGGGCCTTCATCTCGTCACGTTTGTCGATTGCTCACCAATATAGTGTACGCAGGCAGCTGCGTTTGCAGCACCTAATTACTTGCGGCGTGCGGTTACTTGTCCTAGCCAGAGGGATCTTAGGTGTGCTTAGTCGAGATCACCGATCGAAACATTTAACTTCCGAAAAAGACATATCCCGATAAAAGTCCTTGCTTCTTTCGAAATTTCTTTCCCTTAAGTGGAGGGCCATTTGCAACCTCACGAAATTATTATAGCTTTAAACTAGTCCTATTTAGTGCCGTACAGAATAAACGGTCTTCTGACAAGGACGGGCCTCCCCTTTAGACGTAAGACAACGAGAGTTGCATTTTCGTTCCTACCTCTGTAGGTGGGCGGTGACGATGTCGGATCGAAACGTTGTGTCTACTGACGGAAGCAGCCGTCTTTTCGCGCTTTCTTTGAACCGATTCTTTTGTTCTATACCCTCGCAAAGTTAGCGTATTTTGATTTTCCTGTTTTCTCTCTTTTTATTCTTTAAACTGACAGTCACTCGCCCCTTTCTTTTACTTTTCACAGTGAGATGAGTGTACAAGGAGTCCGACTATTCACCTCACAGGGGAACGCATATATTCACAACTTTAAGTTTCATCTGAATACCGGTAGCCTGCAAAATCAGGTGCACTGTATCAACGATGACCAGCCCAATGTAAGTTTGACTTAGCTTGACCTCAGATCTTGTCATTTTGATTTTATCTGAGTCTTCCTTCAATCTCCCTAAATCAGAGGTCAGCAGCAGGGGAGAGGGAAAAATTAAACCGACGTAACATTATATTACGGTGACAAGTGGACCGTAGGGAATGTTTAAGGTCGCACTAAAATTTAAACAATCAGATAGTGTCCTTGAACCTCTGGCTTATCTGACCATTCAGCATAACGCATAAGTATGTTTTCGTGAGTTAATCTCAATCGGTGAATATAATATTAATGCCCCGAGTATCATCTCAAAGCCCTCATCGAATTCCCAAACATTTAACCAACAAGCACGCTTCTAAACTGAAGAATCTAAATCTTACCTTAGTCTTAACACTTTGCTTCAAATCTATCCTTTAAACTGAACCCTAATCGTAACGCAAGTACTTTCCTATATTAACATTGTAAGTATACTTTTGCAAATAAAATGAAGAACTATAAGCAGCAGCATTCGGCCTTTGCATTTCTGCGTATGTAGTCGAAAATTTGTGATGTTTGCTTTTGTCTCATGAAAGATCGCGTTTTCTTGTTATTTTAGCGGAACGTGACTGCTTGGATATGCAAAGAGACACTCATTCCAAAACCACACAGTGGAAATCAAACCGAAACCTTTTTCCGCATCGCGCCAATCAGGTAAATGACGCTTTTTGACTAATTTGAGTATAAACACAGCACGCTTCTGGAGTGAGGGACGGAAAATTATAAGCTGCACACTATTCCTTATAATGACTAGGTCATTATCGGCACTTAGTTTCGCCGAACGTAGGCATTAGCCAGGAACTATTCGCTATATATTCCTCTTTCTCCCTCCGGGATACTAATGCTTCCTCAACGAAGAACTTGGACCTTATCTTCCCAAAGTATGCTTCCACCTCGTTAGATACCACTAAGAAAGCCAACTCTTTCCGTTGTTGATGGGTGCATCCAAGTGATTCTGGGAGTAAACAACGCAGATCTGCAACAAGAACCTGTTCGAAGATGATTATGCGCATTCGTTTCCCACGCTGTGCAGGCAGTCTTTAAAAATAACTTGTTATGCTACTTACAAGTAATAAGTAAGACGAAATTCGGCGTTGAAGAAAGGAATGCGAAAGCTGCTCAGCTTCGAAAATTGTAACGTGAGGAGAATCTGGACAGGCGACCTATCGAAATTGCGGTTACTAGGCTACCTGCCTAAATTACTAGGATTCGTCTGACGAGTTTCTATTCCCCCACAAGCGAATACTACTGTACTATGTGTCCATAAGAAGAAGCAACTTAAGCAGGATGACTGAGTCATCGATAAATATCTCATGAGTAGAGATACCTGCTCGTGTTCCATATGACTATATGCAACACAGTTGCCCTTTGAACTGCAGGAAGGTGTGTTCGTATTTACGTCAGTCCTCCTCCCCCAACCCCAAACTTACGAGTGTGATAATACCGCGCGCTTCGATGATGTTTCTTTTGCTGCTGTTGTATGCCACACCTGCCAGAGATTCTCAGCATTTGGCTTATAAACAAACGCCCCTTTACCAAGCCCATCATACTGTCGTAGTTGTCATTTATCAGAAGAATTCGCTTGGGCGGTGGCCGAATCATCGGTTAATCATTGTGTTCTTTATCTACATATGTACATAGTCCGCCTATGAACGGCAGGGGGTGTGTGTTCGTATTTACATCAACAACATCCACATCACCCTAGACGTCTGATAATGGAAATAGTCTCTAGGCGCGCGCGCTTAGCTGATGTTTCTTTTGCAAACCACAACTGCAGGGGATTCTCCACATTATAGGTAGATGCCGGACGTCGGTGTCTCAAAAAGCTAATTGAACTCCCTGTGCGGACCTGTTATTGTTTCTTTTCTCATCAAAGGCGCCGAAAATCGGGCCCTTTTGTCACGCACACTGGAAAGCAAACAGAGCAATGTTGTTGTTTTATGCTGGCCTATTTGTCTGCTTTGTTCCTCTTTGAAGCCATGGCGTGTATCCTCAAGAAGTTCCACAAAAATTAGTACCTGTTCGAAGATGATCCTCTCTACTGGCTTTTTCTTGTTTAATAATGAATCGCACTCTGTGTACACAGGAGTGAGCAATAATTTGTTATACTACTTAGACTTAATAAGTAACATAGAATGTGGCGTAAAGTTAAGAAATGCAAAGGCTGGGCAGCTTTGGAAGTTTGTCTGGCGATAGACCCGCCGGGCACCTCTAGAAATCGTGTCTGATGTCCTAGCTGCCTGAGTTACGAGGATCCGTCTGACAATTATGTCCCCCTTTACAAGCCCATCGTGCTCTAGTATGTGTCATTTAGCAGAAGAAGTTGCTAGGGTGGTGTGGCCGAATCACGAATTAATAATCGTGTTCCTAATTTATAAATGAACATAGTCCTCCTATGAACGGCAGAGAGGTGTGTTCTTATTTCTATCAACAACACCCACCTCAAACATTCGAGCGTGAAAATCGTCTCTAGACGCACGCTTCGCTGATGTTTCTGTTGCTGCCGTTGCATGGCACACCTGCGAAGGATTCTCAACATTTGGTGTATAAATAGACACCGGACGTCGGTGACTCAAAAAGCTAATTGAACGTAACGAAGCGAGACAGTGGAACATTGTGCCTGCCATGCCCGTGGGTGGATCTGATATTGTTGCTTTTCTCGTCAAAGGCGCCGAAACTCGGGTTTTACTAACAGGAGCACTCACACACTGGAAAAGAAATAGAACAAAGTTACTGAATTATACAGGCCTAGTTGTCTGTTTTGTTCCTCTTTGATGAAGCCATGATGCATATTCTGAAGACATTTTAGCAATTAGAACCTGTTCGAAGATGATCCTCTGTATCGGTTATTGATTAAAACCACTCAGTGTTGACAATCATTAACTTGCCGAAAGATTCGGGGTCCAGATATGTTCTCGCGTTCATCATCTCCCAAATGTAAGGAAGAAGGGGCCGGTTCATGGACGAAAGTATATTTGAACTGACGTTTCGAAAACCTCTCTTCCATCGTCAGAATGTGTTTGGTGGTCTTGAGTTAGCCAGCCTTGCCCTCTGCCTAAAATTATATCAGTGTTGGCCGTGTGAACTTTGACCTGCCCTTTCGTTGCCGACCCCATTTGGTCTCCCGGAGTTTGGCCGCTAGTGGGTTTGCTTGACCTTCTTCCCCTCTGCGGTCAGCGTAGCGGTAGGCGAGTCAATATGCTTGCTGACCTCCCCCACGTCACCCGACGGACTGATCACTCGTTGCTGTTCAATTGGGTTGTTCTTTGCCTCGCGGTTTAACGGTGAGACATTGTTTGATGTTGGTCGCGTGACCTCTGACCTCCACCCCTATTTTCCGTGGGC